CTGTAGATCTAAAATAAATATGAATATGCATTAATTCATCTCACTAACAAAAAACACACACACAGATTCAGTACTCCTCAAAATGAATAAAAATAATGCAACTCAGAATATGACGCAAACCTGCAATAATTAAATGTTAAACAACACAAATATTCTTTATGTATTTAATCCCATTCTATTTGCTTCTGACCTTCGATGATCCAGTTCAACCGTACTAATAAGCACAAATTACTCTAGACAAACACTGATGTCTTTTTTTATTGCTGAAGTGTGTTGAAATGTCGTCTTCTGTATTCTACTGTACTTTCCCTTCAGCCTGAGGCTTATTCATTTCACGTTTGGTGTGAAAAGGCTTTTATATTTGCCAAAAATAGAACTTTTTTATTTTAAAAACAAACAAGCAAGCCCTGTCCAGATTTAAAAAGTAGCACAAAAGTAACGTAACGCATTACTTTCCATAAAAAGTAACTAAGTAACGTAATTAGTTACTTTTTTTATGGAGTAATGCAATATTGTAATGCATTACTTTTAAAAGTAACTTTCCCCAACACTGGTTACAACTAACCCCGTGTTACTTCGTGCCCCGTGCTCCCCTAATGTAAAACTAACATCTTAGAGACGTCTGTCAGATGTTTGTACACAGCAGATGCTTTCCAGATCTTTAACAGACCTCTCGCAGACGCACTTGTGCTATCTGGGATGAAAGAACTCGTGTGCTCATTATGCTTAATAGTGATATTATCGTACTATATAAAATGGTGCCAGTAAGATTGTTTTAACATGGTCTTTTACTGACCAATTTAAATTGGCCACACCCACAGGAAGTTAAATTGCGTAAACGAATTGGAATGACAGGAAAGAGAATTTACTAAACTGCGTTTTGTGACATGACACGTGCATGGACCACAAAAGTTAATTCAAATATTTATTAAATACAGATTTCTACTAATAACGTTTTAAACGTGTATCTGTCTATCTACACTACCGTTTAAAACTTTGGGGTTGGTGAAATGTTTTAATGTTTTTGAAAAAGTCTCTTCTGCATTAATTTGATAAATGCAGTGAAATATTATTATAATGTAAAACAGCTGTTTCTATGTGAATATCTGTTAAACTGTAATGTATTTCTGTGATGCGCAGCTGTATTTTCAGCATCATTACTCCAGTCTTCAGTGTCACATGATCTTCAGAAATCATTCTAATATTATTATCAGTGTTGAAAACATTCATATTTTTGTGGAAACTGATACATAAATTCTTCAGGATTCATAGATGAATAGAAAGTTCAAAAGAACCACTTTTATTTGAAACAAAACATGTAACATTCTAAAATGTCTTCAATGTCACTTTTGATTGATTTATTGCGTGTTTGATGAATAAAAGTATACATTTTTTTTAACCGTGTGTAGGTGCGTCTATAGACACAGCGTTCATGACCTCAGTATTTCTTCACTCTCTTCACACACAATGACATTGCGTCACAAAGCCACTGATAAACTTTCATATAATTAGACAGAAAATCCCCGTCTTTGTTCACATTGTGTGCAGGTGTGAGTGAACTGACGTCTTTCGCAATCAGCACAGAAAACGCCAAAGCACTGTTGCTATTGTTAACTATTAAGCATTTTGAAAAATATTAAATGACAAAACCTGAAGGAAAATGGGAAATTTAGAAGAAATTAATTTTAGAAATGACTAAAGAGGTTTAAAAACATTTCATCTAATATTTAATTTCAGCCTTATTTCGATGAAATATAAGTTGAGGTGCTACAATTGACTAAAACTGAAATAAAAATAAAGCTAAATGGAACTTTAGAACGTTCTCAGAACATTCTGGCAAGATTCTCTCAAAAAAACATTGTTACAATAATGTTAATCGAATGTTTGTTCAAAGTTATCTGGTCTTTAATAACGTTCTCAATGTTAGCACAAAAAACTTATTTATGTATCATTCATGGAACTTTTTTTTCTGAAACATTTTAGGTTTTTATGTTTTCATAATGTTTAAAAGTGACTGAATGAATGAATGAATGAATGATGCATTTTCATATGACTAATGAAAGAGGTTTAAAAACATTTCAGCTAATATTTTATTTAATTTCAGCCTTATTTCAATGAAATATAAGTTGAGGTACTACAATTGACTAAAACTGAAATAAAATTAAAGCTAAATAGAAATATAAAAAAACTACTAAATACTAATCAAATTAGCTGAAGCACATAAGAAAATTGCTAACAAACTAAACCTTGGAAAAAAGCTACTTTACACACACGTGTGTGTATATGTGTGTGTGTCTCTCTGCGCGCGTGTGTGTGTGTCTCTCTCTGTGTGTGTGTGTCTCTCTCTGTGCGTGTGTGTGTGTGTGTGTGTCTCTCTCTGTGTGTGTGTGTGTCTCTCTCTGTGTGTGTGTGTGTCTCTCTCTGTGTGTGTGTGTGTCTCTCTCTGTGTGTGTGTGTGTCTCTCTCTGTGTGTGTGTGTGTCTCTCTCTGTGTGTGTGTGTGTCTCTCTCTGTGTGTGTGTGTGTCTCTCTCTGTGTGTGTGTGTGTCTCTCTCTGTGTGTGTTATTATACACGCACGAGTTGTCCATGGACCGAATTGTCCATTTAGTAAAGAATTGATTTATGGTACTAAATTACAAAAATTCATATCTAGAGAATAATAATAAACTTTATTTATGGAAAACTTTACAAAACTCTATACTTACAATTGTGAGGGGAAATCTACATAAATGTGGAGAAAAATATTTCTAAACCACGAACACTGGTTTAATCAAACCGCCCCACCAAAAAAGCCTATATATAATAAATAATATTTTACACCTATTCAAAATGATGGTACAAGTAAATAACATGAACGGTAAATAAGCAATAAAAAAAAGTATAATTAAATCCAAGTACAGTGAGAATGACATGAATAGGCCTAGAGAACATTTACCCCAGTAGAGCAGTGGTAAAGGGTAGTTAATGTCCACATGGGGGCAGTAACGCATCAGGAGCCGCAGAAACCTGAGATCCTCTGAGCGTCTGCTGCTGTTTGAGGAGGTCTGAGCTCAGTTTCTTCAGAAATTATGTGGTTTGATTTTGAGTTTTTTTTTCTTCTCTTTTCTTCTCACTTTGCTTCATTCTGCAGACACTGAAGTGTTGCGACGGTCCAACAGGACTCAGACAGAACATGATAACCCTGAGACCCGAGAGCTGCGAGTGTGTGTGTGTCATTGTGTTTGTCAGCATCGAGTCGAATGCTATTGTCAAATCCAGCACTTTCATTCTTGTGTTCAGTAACCGGCTCCACCGGACGCACCGGTTCCCGCGGTTTCTTTACATAAGATCAGGTCAGCGTCTGAACTCACCTGAGCGACACTCGTTTATGTAAGACTCACTCCAGACACCTGTTAGTAAAATCACATTCATATCACTCAACTCTGTGCAGATCGTCGCAATATTACATATTCATAAAGAAAACAACTTTAAAACTCACCACCGCCACTGAGTGGTTGCCAGGCTGTTGCTATGCGGTTGCTAGGGCATTTATATGCAGTTGCTAAATTGTTTTGCATGGTTACCACCAGTGTTGGGGAAAGTAACTTTTAAAAGTAATGCATTACAATACCGCGTTTACTCCATAAAGTAACTAATTGTGGTACTTAGTTACTTTTTATAGAAAGTAATGCATTGTGTTACTTTTTGTCACCTGAGCTGAGCTTGCTTATTTATTTTTAATAACAAAAAACCCATGTTGTGTTTTTGTCATCTGTAAAGGCCCTTTCATACCAAAAAAGAAGTGAATAAGCCTGTCAGTCAATAAATGGGAAAACTGGTGTTACTTATATGAAAAAGTAACTCGTATTTTCTTGCTCATTAAAAAGTAATGTTACTTTACTAGTTACTTGAAAAAAGTAATCTGATTGTTACTTGTAGCGTTACACCCAACGCTGGTTACCACCTTGTTGTTATGCTATTATTTAGTTAGGAGTTCTAAATGATTGTTAATGAGTTGCTGTGCAGTTGCTAGGGTGGTCTGAATGGTTGCCAGGGTGTTGCTATGCAGTTGCTAAACGTGTTTTGAACGATTGTTAATGATATTTGTGTTGTGCTTTTAGTTAGGAGTTCTAAATGATTGTTAATGAGTTGCTGTGCAGTTGCTAGGGTGGTCTGAATGGTTGCCAGGGTGTTGCTATGCAGTTGCTAAACGTGTTTTGAACGATTGTTAATGATATTTGTGTTGTGCTTTTAGTTAGGAGTTCTAAATGATTGTTAATGAGTTGCTGTGCAGTTGCTAGGGTGGTCTGAATGGTTGCCAGGGTGTTGCTATGCAGTTGCTAAATGTATTTTGAATGATTGTTAATGATATTTGTGTTGTGCTTTTAGTTAGGAGTTCTAAATGATTGTTAATGAGTTGCTATGCAGTTGCTGAGGTACTCTGAATGATTTATGGTTGCTAGGGTATATATGATGTGTGGTTCCTAGTGGATTTCTGTACGGTTGAAGCAGTATTTTGCATGGTTGCCAGGATGTTGCTATGCGGATACTAAAGTGTTCAGACTGGTTACTATGTGGTTGCCAGGGTATTGCTATGCATTTGCCAAAGCATTTTTGCACAGTTGCCAAGGTGCTGATGTGTACTGAGTGGCTGGTGAGTGGTTGCAAAGTATGTTGATGTATGCAGTTGCTAAGGCATTCTAAATGGTAGTTAGCATGTTGCCAGGGTGTTGCTATGCAATTGCTTTTAATATATTATGTTTAGTACTACAATATGCAACACTTGCTATGATGTTAGTTAGAAGTTCAGAGTGGTTGCTAATTGCATTTATGTGGTTGCTAGGGTGTTTCTATGCAGTTACTAAGGCATTCAGAGTGTATTTAGCGTATTGCTAGCGTGTGGTCTGAGTGGTTGCCAGGGCGTTGCTATGCAGTTAATAAGGTGTTCTGAGCAGTACTAAGCATGTTGCTAGGGCATCTGAGTGGTTGCCAGGGCGTTGCTATGCAGTTACTAAGGCATTCAGAGTGTAGTTAGCATGTTGTTAGGGCATCTGAGTGGTTGCCAGGGCGTTGCTATGCAGTTACTAAGGCATTCAGAGTGTAGTTAGCATGTTGTTAGGGCATCTGAGTGGTTGCCAGGGCGTTGCTATGCAGTTACTAAGGCATTCAGAGTGTAGTTAGCATGTTGTTAGGGCATCTGAGTGGTTGCCAGGGCGTTGCTATGCAGTTACTAAGGCGTTCAGAGTGTAGTTAGCATGTTGCTAGGACATCGGAGTGGTTGCCATGGCGTTGCTATGCAGTTGCTTGTAATCTCTTTTGTGTTGCACTTGCTGTTCTGTTGAGTTTGGAGTGGTTGCTAATGCATTTTTATGTGGTTGCCAGGGTGTTGCTATGGTGTTCTGTATGATTGTTAATCTGTTGCTAGGACACCTGAGTGGCTGCCATTACTCAACTACATTTTTATGTTAGTTAAGTGGCAGAAATTGAGCGTGTAATTAGGATGTGTTCGTATTTCTTCTAACTCAATTAAAGCTGTGACTAGCTGGTGTAGTCTAGAGTAGTCATAATGACGCCTAGTAAATCATATTTTTCATATTTAATTTGTAGGTTTCCCAGCAAGCACATTTCTGAGATTGGTGAGATTTTGGAGCCGGTTTTGATCAATGCCACGCTCCGTTTACTGCAGGATCTAGTTAAACCAGTCTGTGCCACGAGCGGGAAGAAGCTAAAGTAGACCTGATGCAGGTTTATCTGCTCATCCAGATCAGCCCGTGAACGTGAACTCAAGGTTGTGTAAACAAGTCAAAAACCACATACCACCAGAACTGGTTTGGGAAATAAACTCATTTCAGCCGAATATGCAGAATATGTGTGTTTGAGACGATGCGCGTGTGTGTTCATCGTGTGTCACGAGTCTCTTCACTAACGTCTCAGGCTTGTTTTTAAGCCCATACATAGTAATGCATCAGTTCTAATAAATGTATATGGTAATGTACACCTACTATATTAATAAAATCATCTTACACACTCTCTACATTTAAAAACTTACAATTATAAGCGTTCTACACTAATGCGCTTTCTTCACTGTAGCTCATGCGCACACAGACATTCAGGAGCACAGAAACTTCTCAGCAATGAAAAACTTCCCCGCAATGACGTTGATTATGTGATTTAAAGGTTACAATAACCTTTGTCTGCGGTCAAAGTCGCTGCCAGAGTCTTACCGTAAAAAACACAAACATTTCATAACTGCATGATGTCATTAAATCACTCTCCTAATGTCATACTGTAGACACACTTTTTATAATATTTATCAGTAAAATGTATGTTTTTAAATTTGACTACATTTTCTAAAAAAACGAATAATTCCAATAATAACTTTCATTGCGTATGTTTGCAGTAACGTACAGGTGAATAATATTTTATTTGCAAATTATTTTATTTACAATTTTGTGTGAAATATAAATAGTATAAGTTGTAAGTGTAATTATGCAAAATATAATGCGTGTAAAAAAAAAAATCATGTATCTGGGCAAATAATACTGAACTTATAATGAATTTATTTTAATGAATTGCTAATCTGCAACATAAAACAAATGCTGTATACAATATAGAGCAATTTACAATTCATAAATTATTTCATTCATATTTTAAACCTTTTTGCGCAGAAATTTAGCATACATTTTTGTTTTATTTTATTAATATAATTTGCATAATGTAATGTTATATATAAAATATTATGCATAAAATATACTATATTTGCATTGTTTCATAAATTTGCACATTGTTTAAAATGTGTTACATTTGTAGTATTTTAAATTGTTTTTTAACTTGATATTTTTTAAATAAATTGCATTGTGGGATACATTAATGCCATCTGGCATTTGTGTGCTACACACTTTCGCAAAAAAATGTATATATTTGGCATTTAAAAAAAATTAGGTTTAATTTTGTCCTTTTTTGTTTTATTGCTAGTAAATAATTTTAATATATATATTTTTTTTTTGTATAAATTGCATTGCATTCTGGGATACAGTATTCCATGCAGTCTGCTTTGGTTGTGTGATTTATTTTAATGTTTAGATTTTTTTTTATTTTTTATTGTTTGTTACTTTATTCATTTTAACATGCATTTTTGTCTATTTAATATTTTACTATATGCATTGCATTGTGGGATACAGCATCAAAGTGTGCTCTGTTCACTTGATCAGATCAGATGTAATAGGTTCTTCAGGTTTTTCTGCGCCAATGTAAATAACATCTAGCACAGTGCATTTGCTGTAATTATTTTCCATTAAAACTGTAGCCTAATGATGTTAATGACATGATAGCAGTTAGGGTGTGATGTGAGCGCGTGTGTGTATTCTCACACACACTCATGTACCTGTGGAGCAGGTGTATTTGGCGGCGCTCCAGCAGTGCAGCGGGTCACGTCTCTTACTGGAAAGTGTGTGAGCGCTGCCCGTAAGCCACGCCCTGTGGGCAGAGCCTGCACTCTGATTGGCTGCGCCTGATCCACTGAACATGCCTCAGATCCAGTGTTGCCAACTTAGCAATTTTGTTGCTAAATGTAGCAACTTTTTAGACTACCCTAGCAACTTTCTTCCAAAAGCACCTAGCAACAAATTTAGCTGTTTTTAAAATTTATTTGGCAACTTTTAGCAATTTAAATGTAGCAACTTTTTAGACTACCCTAGCAACTTTCTTCCAAAAGCACCTAGCAACAAACAACAAAGTTTTTAAAATTTATTTGGCAACTTTTAGCAACTTTTGATATGTGACACTCAAACGATAAAACGACATTTTCCAGCTAAATTACACAAAAAAGAGGAAACCAAAGATGCTTAGCAGTACACACAACACATGAATTAATTTAGCTGCTGTTTTCAGTTGTTCAATTTAATAATAATAATCATTGAATCATTGTTCATTTATGATAAACCTTGTTAGTAGCTTGTGATTGTTGATCAGTTTGTACACCGTTAGAAAAATAGCTAGAAAAATGGAAAAGGTACTAGTAATTTTCCAGGACATATCTGTTATCCATTATACGTTGTAACCCTGTAACCCGAAAACACAAAATACAATGCGCAATTTAAAATGCAGGTAAAAAAAAAACCTGTGTAAAATCAATACAGAAAATTCCGTCATATTAACATAGTAAGATTGTGCCCTGTTTTTACAGACTCTTCTTAAGAGTGTAGCATACTAACTAACTACTAATACACTGCTTAAAATTATAATTGTTCAGAATGTATAGTTTTACTAGTTTACTAGCTAATAAAAAATCTTAAATTGTTCAATAATTCAATGTTTTATTTAAAAATACAGTTATTTACATTGTAATATTATATTATGCATTTACATTATTTTATTAACAAATCTAAATAAAAAAACTGCTCACCCTGCTCACGGCGTCATCAAACTAAGCCTTTGCCTCTTTGTTTATTTTGAATACGAAAAATAATTAAAAAAAAGTACGTCTTTAACGGCCAACGAGGAGCTAAAAAAAAAAAATATATATATATATATTTTTAGATAACACTAAATAGCGGATTTATTTATAGACAGAAATTAAATCATACATTCTGTATGTTTTACACCCTGATTCAGGGAAAATAGAATTTTGTTCCTAGCACTTCCAGAGTTCTGATCCAAAACGCCACCTAGTGTCGGGCGGATGTGTGTCTGTGCGCCTGAGTCAGTGTTGCCAATTTAGCAATTTTGTTGCTAAATTTAGCAACTTTTCAGACTACCCTAGCAACTTTTTCTTCCAAAAGCACCTAGCAACAAATTTAGCTGTTTTTAAAATTTATTTGGCAACTTTTAGCAACTTTTGATATGTGACACTCAAACGATAAAACGACATTTTCCAGCTAAATTACACAAAAAAGAGGAAACCAAAGATGCTTAGCAGTACACACAACACATGAATTAATTTAGCTGCTGTTTTCAGTTGTTCAATTTAATAATAATAATCATTGAATCATTGTTCATTTATGATAAACCTTGTTAGTAGCTTGTGATTGTTGATCAGTTTGTACACCGTTAGAAAAATAGCTAGAAAAATGGAAAAGGTACTAGTAATTTTCCAGGACATATCTGTTATCCATTATACGTTGTAACCCTGTAACCCGAAAACACAAAATACAATGCGCAATTTAAAATGCAGGTAAAAAAAAAACCTGTGTAAAATCAATACAGAAAATTCCGTCATATTAACATAGTAAGATTGTGCCCTGTTTTTACAGACTCTTCTTAAGAGTGTAGCATACTAACTAACTACTAATACACTGCTTAAAATTATAATTGTTCAGAGTGTATAGTTTTACTAGTTTACTAGCTAATAAAAAATCTTAAATTGTTCAATAATTCAATGTTTTATTTAAAAATACAGTTATTTACATTGTAATATTATATTATGCATTTACATTATTTTATTAACAAATCTAAATAAAAAATATTTTTTTGGTTGAGATCTGATGCAGTGACACAATTTTACGTCATGATTACGGAATGACGTCATCACATGATGACATCAAAATGTCATTTAGCAACTTTTAGCAACAAATCAACCTTCCTTTAGCAACTTCCACTGAAAATTAGTTGGCAACAGTGCTCAGATCCACTCTAGACTGATTAAACCAGCAGCGTTCACTTTCCCAGAGTCCTTCTGCTCCACACATCAAATATAAACGCCGTCTCTCTGTGGATCTCTCCACTAAAGTGCTACTGTAATGAAAAACCACACGCATGACGAATGAGCAAAACATCTGGCATGCTTCCATTGGTGGTGTTTATTGGTTTTGATAAACAATCATAACTGATTATGTAGGAGTGTCCGAAGCGCTTTACCGGCAGCGTGTGTTTATATTCTGATATTTAACGTTTTATTGGCTGTGTTGTAGTGTAAACTTCACACCTGTTCATGCATGTATTTAGTGTTTAATGTCCACCGGCTAACATGAGAAACACATTCTGACTGTTTTCACTCGCATACCATTAGTACACTTCATAGTGTACTAGATCAAGAGTAGTATGTTTTGTCTAATCTAGTATGGAAGGCCTGTATTATTTCTGCAGGATTTGTTTGCATCCGTTCGTGTTTTTTACCCACAAAACAGAGGAGGAGGTGCTTTTGGATTTCCATTTCAGTTTAAGTTTGCAAACCCAAAAGTTACATCATTTTGACTTTTTTAAGCTGAATTTATTTAGCAAGTGCTAACATGCTAATGCTAACGGTAAACAACAAAGGGGTTTATGGGATCAGGAGTTCACTAAGTCTTAAACCATAAAATCAAAAACTAATTTTCATTTGGTTTAACTTCATGTACTAACATAACGAAAAAATAAAATGTTAAAAAAAAACTATAGATACATATTTTTGCATTGCACTAAACAAGATTACTGAAGCTTTAACTAAAATTAAAGTGAAAACAGGAAAATATAAAAAATGAAAACAAAGCCTTTAAAAAAGATTAAAAATGACAAAAACACACAACTAAATTACTGACACTTTAACAAATGAAAATGGATAATATAAAATATTCAAAATATTAATAAAATGTATACTAGTCATGATAACATGAATAAAACTGACAGAAATACTCAAGATTGCTAAAACATTCAAATTTAAATGTAAATAATTAACTACAATAATAATAACTAGTAATAAATAGTAAACTAGTTCAAAATATTTATAAAAACTATAATAGTCACTTAAAGTTAAATTATAAAAACATGCAACAATAACCAAAATTAACTAAAATTTTAATGAAAATGAGAAAATATAAAAAACTAATTCAAAATAATAATAAACTATAGAATAAATCACAGGATAAAATTACTTCAAAATTTAAATGAAAATATCAAATAATTCAAAATATTAGTAAAAACTAATGTTTTTTAAAAT